CTCAATTCTCGTTTTCCTTCCATCATCTCCTCATCATTAATTTCACCCTCAATATAGGTTTCCATATTTAAATTATTTAAATTTACTGTAAAATATCTTACCCATTTTCATGAAACATAAATAATTTTAAAATCACTGTAAGACTTAAATTAAATCAAAATTTTGTATTAAATATATGAATAGGATAAAGATCAAAAAATAAAAAAAATATTAAAATATATGAACACAATGTATAAATCAAAGAACACATTTAATTATGATTATTTAATAGATCACATGTAGATCAATTTATTTTGTTAACATTCTATTGTTATCGAAACTAACCCATTATTACAATACATCAAATTATTTAAATTATACTTTAAAAAACATTTAGATGTGATTATTACAACCGTCTTGTCACTTTACAAATTAAATATTACATATTGATAATTTATTAATCTACGTTGATATTATACTTAAATTAGTTCATAATTACAAAATATTATAATTTTATTTAAAAAAATACAAATATAATAGTCTCTAACATAAAATTGAATTTTCATGTTTTACAATTTTATCATAAAATATTTTATATTTATCTAAAAGCATATCTCCAATTTGTAATTTATGATGTTTTAAATTTGATATTACACATTCTATAATATCTACTGGTATTGATTCGCCAAATGAATGTACACTATATTTATCACTGCTCATTTCCTTTTCTATAAGTTCAAATATTATATCTGCACAGTTGATCAACTCCCCATAGCTCAAGTATAGTTGTAATAATTCACCAACATTTCTTTCATTGAATGTTTTAACAAGCCAGCTAGGTAAAAATGCTTTATGTCTCAGTAGCTCATCAGCAACATGATAATGTATCAATGTTTTTCCATTTTCTTCATATCTCTTTACTAATGTCTCCAAAAAGCGCCAAGCAATTTTTCCACTGTCAACACCATCACCACTAACTCCATTGTCAGCTAACCAAAGCCATGCTTTGTCACATTCTTCAGAATTAGTGAGATTCAAACATGTTTTAACTAATTCTCTTAATGGATAATAAATAGGTAAATTCCACATTTTAGACAACCGCATTGCTTCTTTGTATTTATGTTTCATTATCAATATTGAAACTACACTTTGAACATCCATATCAGTTGCAGATTCTTCAATTTGCTGACGGGCCCGAGCTAACCAACACATTTTTTTTAAATGTTCAATTTTTATTAATCCATTATGAATCTCATCAGTCTTTGAAAGGAAAGGTAACGATACGGTAACAAACCAAGCATCTTTAGGACTTAATGTTTCTAAATATAAGAGAGACAATCTTAAATATTGTTCTTGAGTTACACATGTATCTGCACGTAAATATAATTCATAAAATGTCATAGCGAGTTTTTTGTATTTTCCATATTTGTCATGTATTGAACATAAAAACATATAGAAAGGAGCGGCATCAGTATTCGATAAAGATCGTGCTTTTTTTAGAATTATATCTTCTACTGAACTTTGTAAACCAGAAAACTTAAAACTCAAAAGTTTTTCTTTTTCACCATTTTCTAATAATGTCAAGACAAATGTATGTAAGCAATTCAACTTTCGATCTTGATCTCTCAAACATAAAATATTATTGTACGCGTTTTGATATGATTTCAGCTTTAAATTGTTAAGAAAAATATTAGAATGAAACATTGATGTCATATTTTCATCCCCATCATGTATAGATATTTCTAATACATGATTTCCAAGTTGTACTGCATGATCATAGAAACCGTGTTTTTCAAACAACGTGATACCTCTAAGAAAATGTTCCATTTCATTTTTAATATTATTCTTAAGTACTTGAAGTGCTTTATCTGGTTCATTATTTAACATGTATGAAACAATCAATATTTCTTCCCAATCTTTAAAGTCTAATAATTGAGCCATTTGTTGTATGAAATTGTACTGCTTTTCTTGAAGTAAGAACTTTACAAGAGTAGATCCATTAACAAGTGGCCATGTATAGTATAACAAACCATAAATATAATCCATAAATGGTTCTTTGGCCAACAATTTATTAGTCATAATCATATTTTCACATAACTTTATATCATGTGAAAATAATGCCAGAATCCAATAACTAGTAACAAGGTTACAAGCATCAATAACAAATTCTTTAGTTTGTCCATAACTTTTAGAGCTTAACTCCATTAATGTAAACAATCTACAACACAAATCAAAACGTGTAATGATAATTTGATGAAAACTATGGGAAACAATACTAGTGCCTAATTTACTTCTAAAACAATTAGAAAATTGATTATTTTGCATATCTTCAATTGTTTTTGGACTAGCATGTAGCATCTGAATTAATATTTGAACACTTTCAGTAATATCGCATCCATTTAAAAATAATGTGACATTTGGGTCATTGGTATCAAAACCATAAGACTTTCTAACAATATCCAAAAAACTATTAGGAGATAAATTTAAATCTAAAAATAAATTGAAATTGTTTTTTGGTTTAGACATAAGCATATTAAATAACTGATTTAATTCGGTTTTTTGTTTAAGATTTTGAATTGAATATATCTTGTCTTCCACATTATCTGATGGCCGTAAAAAGCAAAAACTTGAGTTCGTAATAACAACTATTAAAAAAGATGGTGGACCCAGCCATATAAGTCCAAGAGGAGCTAATCTTTTACGACGATAATCCAAGCAGCTTTTATAAAAACTAGCACTGCATTGTTCAACAAGTTGCATTTGTGACTCTATATCAGTTGAGTCATATTTATCCATTTCCTGAGAAACTTTTGTATCAATTGCATTACTTATCTTTGCACGATAATCAATAATAACGTCACAGTTATCAGATGTATCATAAACAGAAATAGCATTTTTCAAATCATCTTCTGTGAAATAAGTTGAGGATGAAAATATTTTATTCAAATAAGTTTGTTTTGAATTAGATGAAAATTGAGTAGGTTGTTCGAAAGCAGTTGTATCCAAAGTGCAATTTTTCCATCCACCATTTCTTATATTTACAGATTTAATACAGGCAATATCCTTTCCAGTTCTCCAAATACACCAAATTTCATCACCATATAATGCCATATCAACTAGTCTACTTTTCATAGGTGAGCACACATAAAATTTTTGTTGAAGTTTAAACATACCATGGTCAGTGCATGGTTCAAGAACTACAAATTTAGAACTTTCCGATAAACTAAGGTAAATAGTTAATAAAAGTTTATCATCCAAACGTTTATGAATAATATGAGGTCTTGAACCATTTTCTGTTGAAGCTGCATATATTTTTTTCATATCCATTATATAAATATAAATGGATTTATCAATAGACCAAACTTTTAAATCACAAGCATTATCCAAAGAGTATACATAAATGTCTTGTTGAAATGGATGAACAGCTAAACTGTTAATAACAGGATTTTCAATATGTGCAGAAAATACTTTAGTTATATTTGAAAGCATTCGAGGTACAGCAGATTCCTGACAAATTTCTTTTAAGGTAGGAAGCCCAGAAATATATTCCAAACGTATATAAAGCATGACATTGTTCTGAAGAGCTATTATAAAAATAGCATCATGTTTTTGATCTAAACATGATGCGGCTGAATATGGATGACTTAGTTCTGCATTATATGAATAAAATGTAGCAGGATCATCAATAGATGGCACATGAAAATTTGAGAAAATTGATGCTTCTGTTAATACATTTTCATTATAAGATTTAATGTCTTGACGAACTGGCTTCGGAAATGTTAATCGATGACAACTACATGCTGTAGGTACTAATAAAACCACTGATTCTGAAGTTTCATAAACTGAAATTCCACTATCCAGAACAGGAGAATCACGGAAATGAATACGTACCTGATTTTCTGTAAGATTTGTATCCAAACTGTGTTCAACTAGTTCAAGTTTATCATATAAAACTCGCCAAAATAGAAAACGGTTAGGAATATCTTTAAAGCAGTGACCACCTGATCGGGGTAATGTGCTTTCATCACGCAAAGTAGTTGAAGCACCTTCAGGATTAATTAAAATTTCTTTCCATTCATTTGATTGAAAATGTTCAGTTACAACTTGCCGATAAATAGATTGCATGTATGGATTTTCGTCAGCCATATTATCTTAAAAAAAAAAAACACAAAATAAAAATATTAATTTTAGTAAATATTAAAATAATAATTAATAGTATAATAGTAACAACATAAAATAAAATGTATTGTAATCATTTCATAAATTAGGCTTTGACTAATATAAAAATTAAAAAAATAGTTTTAAATAATTTATACATTCAATCTGAATTGTTATCTAACAATATAAAATAAATGTTAACCATTAATTCAAAACCATACATACATAATAAAATAATTGTTTTATACAGTATTATAGAATTTTTTGTACTACAATATTAAAAATCAATAATAAAGATTAAAAGGATAATAAAAAAAAAGCCAATACCTAAATATAATTTTCTATATATTTATAGAGTCAAGTTAAAACATAAGTAAAATTAATATGAAGTATTTGATGCGAAAGAAAAAATTACCGCTAAGAAAATTGTTTGGATTTAAGTGCCATTGATAAAGTTAACATTTTTATTCCTCCAAATATATATACAACCGACACTTTTCATATGTCAGTTGTAGATGAGTAAAAATGAACAAAATATAGAACATGGAATATTGCAAGAAAACGTTTTTAAAAACAAACTGAACGATAAAATGTAATATTGTAAAACATAACTCACCTTTTTAGTAACGATGACCAACATAAAAGTGTTTCGTTAAAACTTAAAAGCGACGGCATTTACGTTCGGACCGGCAGTTGCTTTCGGCTGTAAATACACAGTATGGTGTAGCATGTAAACTCATGGAGGGAGTTTCGTTGTTAACGGTTATCAGTTATCACTATTAATTTTTTGTACGTTAAACAAGGGTATCCAACGTTACGTATGCCTCCTATTCGTCTGTTCCTTTTCGTCGAGATCTCATTCGATTCATATGTTTTGCGGTGATAAACAGGAGCGGCTCGTCAGGGGAGACTTTGAGACTGCGCCCCCCTAAAAAAACAACTGCTAGTAAATAATAAACATTTAAAAATGTATAGAAATATTTTTATTTTTATTATTATTAGCAATAATATGATTTTTTTTAAATAAATTTTTTCTTTTTTTTTCGCTTTTCCTATAGAGATTTCATGTCACCCCAGTTGAGAACCACTGGATTAGATGATAAAATAATCATATGGTAATTACAACGGCGGTTTATTATACAATCATCAATGGACGTAAGTAAACATTGAAAATGATAATGGACAACGTGCGGATTTGACACTATTTGTAATCTGCATTGCTATTTGGGTCCAAGTTTTGATGGACCATCAATTTGTATTCCGATCCGTATAAATGTTTTAATTTTTGTAGTTGTATACATTTGTTTTGATTCAATCGTAATTTTTCGTTATTTTACAACTATGGTTAAAGTCAATAAAGAAGCTTACATCCCGCTGTTGCCGTATGATCTAGGATACGAAGAAACCATTTTACAATTAATCAAATCGCTGGATTGTCTTGATAAAGTTGTCGATTGTGTGTTTGAACATGTTCGAGGTAATATTAACAAACAAAAATCGGACATAGTTAAACTGAATGATAAATTACACGACGTAACAAACAAAGTACAACGATTGTCCAGTATTAAGAAATCTGTTCAAGTATATTCTAGCTCCAAGTATCCAGCTACTCATTGTCATAAAGATTATGAATACAGTTATGATTTTAATGTAAAATCGGATATTGTGAAAAATATCCAAGTTGATCATCAAATATGCGTGTCTAATGATCCGTCCGATAAACTTAAGTTTTATCATGTAAATAATGAAAGTAAAAAAATATTAAAAAAAAATGATATATTTGGAATGAAAGGCTTAGGTGACTTACCTGATGATATAAAATACTTAAGCTCCTTATTATTATTTAATACAAATGAGAATTTATATAAAAACTATGGTCTATCAAATCCGTATCGAGTTAAGAAGACAACGATTAATCAAGTTAAAAATACTGATGAAAACATTTATAAACCAGTATTTACATTACCATTAAATGAAACTGAGAATCAATTTGACTATTCTTATACACCAGTGTCCGATGAAGTTCCTTCAATTGATGTGCCAGCTGATTTACCTGACCTTCCAGGAATTGCTGGTGATTTTTTGTGCTTTAATGAAAAAGAACAAATAGAAGTGCCAGTTGTTTGTCAACCATCCAATGTAGTAGATCTTCCAAGTTTTGATGAGTTAGACCATTTAAAAAAAGATGAAACTATAGTTGATGATTCAAAATCATTTGTGCAAGAAAATGTTGAATCTGAATTTGAAAAATCATCAGATGTTATATCTATACAAAACAACACTGAAAATATTGAAAGTGTCAATAGTTCTGTGAAATATGATCAAAAAATCAGTAATATATATGAAAACAATGACAATAGACATAGTGTACTTATGGACGAAATACGAAATGCTGGAGGGTTAAAAAAAGCAAAATTGCGTTCAGTCAGAGATAGGAAAACAGATGACGAAACAGTTCCTTCAGGTGATGGCTTAATGGCTGATTTACATAAAAAATTAGCAATGCGAAGAAAAGGGATTTCTGGTAATAATAAGCAAAATGATAGTGGTTTAGAAGGTGTTTTTCATCGAATGGCATCAATAATGTTACCTCCTAATGAATCTGAAAGTGAAGCAGATGTAGAAGATGACACAGGTGATTGGGATGATTAAAATATTTGTTTTATATTTTATCCTTGTAATCTTTTGTCATCACAAACTGTTATATCATCTCTTTGTTTAACAAATTATATTTTTTTGTTTATTTATGTACCTTATATTATTCATTGATTTATTTTGTGCACAATTATTAATGTGAAGATAAATATTTATATTAAAAATAAATCTTTATTTTTAAATATTTTTGTAGCAAATATATATTTATATCTTATTTGTTAAATGGCTTTTTTTTTTTTTTTTAAAAAAAATACATAATACATAATGCACTACGTAATAATAATACATTAATTTATATTTATTTGTGTAATAACAAACGACAATAACTTAAAAAATCATAATTTAAATTACAAAAAATATCTATAAGTACATTACAATTGAATACAAAATTTACAATTCATTGTTTTCTATTTACAACTAGTAATAAATGTATTTCAATAAATTTAGTAAAATATTAGATATATTTTATTGCTTTAAAATTTAAAATTTAAATTAATACAAAATATTGCAATATTTACGGTCTTCAAAATTACAATACCTCAATTAGGAAGTTAATTAAATAAGATACATAATATATTATAAGGTTACATAAGTTAATTCCTTGGTTTCAAAATCTGCATAATTTATTTGGATTATATTTTTAAAATTAATCTTATATGTATTTGAAGTGATATATTTATTTAACATACATTAAAATATTACCTAATAAATAGATAAATATTAAAATATTTGTTTAGATTTTATGTTATACTATGAATTAATTTTATTTTTCATTTAACAATTGAAAAATAATGTAACATGATTAAAACAGCTGATACATAATATGATAGTCATGTAATTTTTCCAAATTAACTGAATTTAAAATGAATATGAAAGAAAAAATATTTAATATTATACAATTTTTTTTTTTTATCTGTAAAATGTAATTGGAAATTAAAAAAATTTACCAAATTATATATTATACTCTTGTATGATGTATATAATTAATTACAATACAGCTACACTTTTCAATTAAAATTAATTGATATTTTATTTACATAAATAATTTATAATTTATTATATTATCTTAAATCAGTCGTTACTAATGAGAAATTTGCTGCAATTGGTCGTGAAACTCTGTAAATAATCTTTGAGTGCTTCTTGAACCGGCAACAATTACTAATACTTCCTTTAAGAGTTCATGTTTCGACATACCTATTATAGTTTCAACTTTTTTATGATTCGAATAGCCATGTGAAACTCCCAATAAATCTTGACATAAATATCTTAATTGTTCACTATCTTCCCTTTCAGTTAAAAAAGAAACATAGGCCATTAGCCAATATTTATATTCTTTATCAGATTCTAAAGCTAAAGCTGCTGACATTTGTTGTTCCAGAAACGATTTTGAACACAATTCACTTATTCCACCAGTGTCTTTAAAATCTAAGTTTGATTTATATTTGGAAGAATATGCTTGCATGACACTTAATGGATACTTTTCACTAGTTTTATTCAAACCGATGTGTTTATTTTTTTGTGACGAGTTTGAATAAATTGCATCTCCACTATCACCAATCATCATCCAACATTTTGCTCTCATAGAAAACATATATGATTTGCCAGTTGTTAATGTAATTATTGATGTTCCGTTTTCAGTCAACATACACTTTTGCACATTGATTGGCTTATTTTTATTAGAACAAATTAAAGTATTGAGTTTTTCTTCATGTAAAATACATTCTTGTTTATCAATGTCCCACACAGAAAGAGAATGTTGTGTCATACATAGTAAGTAGTTATTATTGGAACTAATAGACGTTACTGGTGCTGATAGTACATATGGTGGACATATAAGTGAACCATTTTTGGACCCTATCACATGTATAGTACAATTACTTAATGCTACAATTATTAACGATAAACTTTTGTTAGAACAATATTTTATTACACTAGAGCTAAAAACTTTCTCCCAAGCAACTACGTTGTTGGAATACACTTTAATTTTAGAAATAGGCCCATTTATTGTACTAAATGTATCATTTTCTACTACAACTCTATCTGTGTACTGATTTGATATGGTAAATTTTCGTTTTTGAGGCGTGCTTTGTGAAAAATTATGTTTAACATCTGTTGAAAGTTCATCATCTTCTACATTACTGAATTTAATTTTTTTAGTAGAAAACAAATTTGATATTAATGAAACAGGTTCTGGTCTTTTTTTAGATTCTACTTTATTAGGAGATGTTTGAAAAACAGATGAAGGAGTACTCCTTGGTATTGTTGAATCAATTATCGTTGGGTTTTGAGATTCTTGACTAAAATTGCTGCAACTATTGCTTATGTTAGGTTCAATAATATTGTTTACTCGTTCAACAACTACCTGACTTTTACTTTCACATGATGATGAGAATGGTAAAACATTCATTTCCTCTGCATTGTCAGGTGTTGGTGGTATAAAAATGGGTGTAATACGTCTACGTCCATCAGATGTACGAGTTTCAATTTGTTTTTTCAAAATTGGAGGAACAGGTTTAGTTAAATTTTTAGATGGTTGTTTGACATCTTTTTGATTCTCAACCTTTTGAATTTTAAATGGTTGCGCACCATTCATTTTTAGTATTGCTGGGTTTTCAATGAGCAAAGTGTTTTGACGTTCTAAATGAGATATACCATACAGTTTTTTAAAAATAGTACTTTTTTCTTGATCAGAAAGTGCTTTTCCAATATCTTTTTCATCAAATATTAAAATTGCTATAGATCCATCAAATGAACATGCGTACAAGTTTAATCCATTTTTTGACCAAGATAAATCCAGTACAGGACCTTGAAACAAGTTTTCAAGAACAACAACAGGTCTTTTTAAAGCTGTTATCCAAACCGATACGTTAGAATCCCTTGAACCTACAGCACATAAGCTCATATAATGAGTCTTTTTACTGATTTTACGTTCTATCATTGAACTACTAAATCTTACACAATTTATGGCTTTTCTATGCCCAACATAATCTTTTTCATAGGTCCAACCATCTCTTTCAATTACTTTAGCAACAGGACCAGTGTTGTTCATGGCATGAGCAGATACTAAATACTGACCATCTGGAGACCAACTATGTCGTAGTACAGCCGTATTACCACCACAGTCCTTGAAAGGCGTTGTGACAATAGTATCTGTTTGCCAATCAGATGTTCTCCATATTCTTAAAGATTTATCATCAGACTGCGAAGAAAGATATTTTCCAACTGGATCCCAAGAAACTCCTTTTACTAGACCAGTGTGGCCGGACAAAACTTTATGTACAGTTGGAAATTTTTGAGCATTCCATATGATTATTGTATTGTCCACAGAACATGATGCTAAATATGAGTCACGAGGAGACCAAGCTAAATCAAGTATATCACCAGAATGTGAACGCAAGGTAAACATACATTTCCACGTTTCAATGTTCACAATGTTCTTGGTGCCGAAAACAATGTTTCCACTATTGGGATATTTGCTCAATGACCATATCATGATGATTTTGTCATCGCCACCAGACGCCAAATACTTGCCAGAGTTGCTCCATCGGACGCAATTGACGCACGCCAAATGGCTATCCACCTGAAATCAATCAGAACATCAAACGTTTCATATTACACACGGTCAAAGCTTCCCCAAACCGAGTCCAACCGTCATAAGACACGGCTACTCACTTGACACAGGATTTTCGGTACGTTCTCGTCGTTTTCACTATTCTCGTCGAGCATAGCGGCCGTGTTCCATACCATGACCAACCCGGAGTCCCGGCCCTGGCCACCGGTGGCCAGCCGAGTACCGTCCGGATGGATATCGATCGAAAATATCGGCATGCCATTGTGAGATATCCACGCCGGCTTCAGAATGATCATCTTGTCTGCGGCCAACTGTATAGTCGTTTACAGTTTTTTCTTTGCGCGAAAAACGATCATGATCACGGGCAGCCGTTGGTTACGAGTCGCGGTGGAAATAGCGGGCGAACAGAATTTTTCTAGCTATATTATGATTAATAGTTTTTTTATTTTTTTTTTTTTTACCGGGAATAATTTTTCGTGTTTATGTTATTCGTTTCCGTCGACCGACGGTGCACGGCGTCTACCCGTGACTCACTTCTAGCACGTGCCATACAACGATCGTGGTTGGTGATATTATTCTGTGGCGATAGCCCTACAATTGTGCCGTCGAGAACGAACACTAATAACGTTGGCACGACTGCCCTTGAACACGTCTGCGGTTTGTTGATAAGAGTGTGCCACGCTGATAACGCATCACCGATTGCCGACGACAACATTCTACCCTTTGCCCATACAAGTGGTGGATCACAAGTGGATTTTTATTAATCGTTTTGGAAGTATCAACTGTGATATTCGTCTACAGTCGCGAATTCGTGCATGCGTCCCCGAACGAACGATTAGTTGTTCGTTAGTTGTACGTGATAGCTCGACCTGGTAGATGTGCTGACACTTGGAACGGTGGTGTTAAACGTTTAAAATGGTTAGTGTTTTCGGCTTGATGTCGATTCTCTTCATCTGATCGCTGTTTAAATATCAATGTTTCATCTTTTCCAGCCTTTACGTCTAGATATCAAGCGCAAGTTGACTGCCCGGTCGGATCGTGTTAAATCCGTTGATCTCCATCCCAAAGAACCATGGATGTTGGCATCATTATACAACGGTAACGTTCATATATGGAATCACGAAACAGCCACTCTCATTAAATCCTACGAAGTAAGTTGGTGCAATATTTTGTATTCATTTTAGTAGTTGTGTGTTAATATTAACAATCAAATGTTAATTTTTTTCTGTTTGCACACCTAGCTCATTTATGTTGAGTACATTATGTTTTTTTTAAAATGAAAATTTTTATCTTTACAAAACTATTGAAACTATTTAAAACTTGTTAATATTCAGTTTATCTAAATTATATATAAATGATGGATAAATAATTACAATTAAAAAAAAAAAAAGTAATTGGATAACATTTTTATTTATTTTTTTTTAATATTTATACCTATTTTTTTATTTCTATTTGTATCTTAAGAAACAAAATAAACCTTTGAATTTTAGTTCATAGTATATTGTACAATAATTATTATTATGTTTGATTACTGTTGACTACATTTATAAACCTACTTTCATTGGCTATTATTTTGTTGTTTAATAATAATTATTTTTAAATGTTACAACTAATAGAGTTACTAAAAATTAAATTTATCAATAAAATTGGTCGATTCAAGATTACCATATCTTATTTTTCCTTTTTTCTTTATCACATGATTATTCTGTCATACAATTGATTTATGTACTCCATGGACACAGGTAATTATATTTATAATTTGTTTTTATAGGTATGTGAACTACCTGTTAGGGCAGCTAGATTTGTTGCTCGAAAAAATTGGATTGTTACTGGATCAGATGATATGCAACTGCGTGTGATAAACTATAACACTTTAGAGCGTGTTCATCAACTTGATGCACATTCTGATTACTTACGAAGTATTGCAGTTCATCCATCTCAACCTTTTATCCTTACTAGTAGTGGTATGTGTTATAATCATTAGAATTATACATATGTATTGAAAATTACCTATATACCATGTATAGTATAATATGCTAATATATGTATAAGAACCATTTATTTATAATTTCGCAATTGATTTTTAGATGATATGTTGATTAAACTTTGGAATTGGGAAAAACAATGGGCATGTCAACAAGTTTTTGAAGGACATACTCATTATGTTATGCAAATTATGATTAATCCCAAAGATAATAATACTTTTGCTAGTGCTTCATTAGATCGAACTGTTAAAGTTTGGCAACTGGGTTCTTCGACACCAAATTTTACTTTGGAAGGACACGAAAAAGGAGTTAATTGTGTTGATTATTATCATGCTGGAGATAAGCCATACTTAATATCTGGTGCTGATGACCGACTTGTTAAAATTTGGGATTACCAAAACAAAACATGTGTTCAGACATTAGAAGGCCATGCTCAGAATATTTCGGCTGGTAATAAAATTATGTGTAATATTAAATTATTCTTGTTTAAAACATTTTATTTGTGTTTCAGTTTGTTTCCATCCTGAACTTCCAATTGTTTTAACTGGTTCTGAAGATGGTACTGTTAGAATTTGGCATTCTGGTACCTATCGATTAGAATCATCATTAAACTATGGTTTAGAACGTGTATGGACAATTTGCTGCTTACGTGGATCTAATAATGTAGCTTTAGGGTAAAATATATTTATTATAATATATATAATATATTAAATTAGAAAGAAAATTAATTGTTAACACCAAATTCTTAGATATGATGAAGGTAGCATAATGGTTAAAGTTGGTCGTGAAGAACCAGCTATGTCAATGGACGTTCATGGTGGAAAAATTGTTTGGGCACGGCATAGTGAAATTCAACAAGCTAACCTAAAGGCTATGCTTCAAACAGAAGGAACTGATATTAAAGATGGTGAACGTTTACCTATACAAGTCAAAGATATGGGAAGCTGTGAGATTTATCCACAGTCAATATCTCATAATCCAAATGGAAGATTTTTGGTTGTATGTGGTGATGGAGAATATATTATTTACACATCAATGGCTCTACGTAATAAAGCATTTGGATCTGCTCAAGATTTTGTATGGTCTTCTGATTCTGAGTATGCAATCCGAGAAAATTCTTCTACAATTAAAGTTTTTAAAAACTTTAAAGAAAAAAAATCCTTTAAACCAGAAGGTGGAGCAGATGGTATATTTGGAGGTTATTTATTGGGTGTGAAATCTGTTACTGGATTAGCTCTATACGATTGGGAAAATGGTAATTTGGTACGAAGGATTGAAACACAACCAAAACATGTATTTTGGTCTGAATCTGGTGAATTAGTTTGTCTTGCCACAGATGAAGCTTATTTTATACTACGATTTGATGTCAATGTACTTAGTACTGCCAGAGCATCTAATTTTGAAGCTGCTAGTCCAGATGGTCTTGAAGATGCTTTTGAAGTAATTTAACTGAAAAAATGTTGAAATGTAATTAATCATTAATTTGCTTTTATTTTATTTTAGATATTAGGAGAAGTTCAAGAAGTTGTTAAAACTGGTCTATGGGTTGGTGATTGCTTTATATATACCAATGGAGTAAATCGTATTAACTATTATGTTGGTGGTGAAATTGTTACTGTATCTCATCTTGATCGCACAATGTATCTTTTGGGATATGTGGCTAAAGAAAATCGGTTATACTTGGGTGACAAGGAACTAAATATAGTTTCTTATAGTCTACTTCTGTCTGTATTAGAATACCAAACAGCTGTCATGAGAAAAGATTTTGAAATTGCTGATCGTATACTTCCGTCAGTACCTTCACAATATAGAACACGTGTAGCTCATTTCTTAGAAAAACAGGTAATAATAATAAAAAAAAATTACAATTAAATGTCCATTCACAGTTAGTATGAGTTAGTGTGCCTTTAATTTAATTTCATATTATTAAAGTATTTAGTTGTGTTGGATAAAAAAAGAATTCTTACCCTTAAACTATTATAACCTAAATTATTGTGTATTTAACTATGTAATTATGTAACTAAATTTAATCACACCTATACCTTTATTACCATATTTGTAAACTATGTAAAATTGCCGTTTTGACGTTATATAAATAATAATAATAATAATAACATATAATTAACCGATTTAAATATTTATAGGGTTATAAAAAGCAAGCATTGGCAGTATCGACTGATGTTGAGCACAAATTTGAATTGGCAATACAATTACAAGACTTAGCTAAAGCACATATGCTTGCTAAAGAAGCATCAAGTCCACAAAAATGGAGACAACTTTCTGAATTAGCTACAGCACAAGCTGATCTTGAATTAGCACAAGAATGTCTTCATCAAGCTCAAGATTATGGTGGTTTACTTTTGTTAGCTACATCTTCTGGTATGTTTTATTTTTTCTTCATATATTTGTATTATAATTTTTTTTTTTTCATAGGTAACAGTGAAATGGTTAAAAAATTGGCTGAAAGTACTAATTTAAATGGCAAAAATAACATCTCATTTCTTTCATACTTACTTTTGGGTGATTTAAACAAATGTTTACAACTATTAATAGAAACTGATAGATTGCCCGAAGCAGCATTTTTTGCACGATCATATTTACCAAGCAAAATGTCTTATGTTGTTGGATTATGGAAAGATTCATTAAGCAAAACTAATTTAAAAGCTAGTGAATCTTTAGCTAATCCAGATGAATATGAAAACTTATTCCCTAACTACCAAGAATCTTTAAAGACCGAAGTTTATTTACAGTCTGAAAGAAATAGACAATTGCCAGCTGCTGCTTATGCTAGTACTCCGGTAAGCTTTTTTAATTAAATACGCACATATACATAAATAAATCACAGTAAATTATATTAACTATCGTGATTTAAATTGGTAACATAACAGCCATCAAAAAATATATTACTGTATATTTTTTCTCATTAAAATGTGTGTATTATATAGTTGCATCTATGTTTAATGGTAGTTATTTAAATTACTTCACAGAGTATGTATCCATCACATAAATGTTTGTGAAATCATTCTTTGATATTACATATCTACTGGGTATACAAACAAATATATAACTCAAATTATTAAATATACTATATTTGTTTTTAGTTGAATCATGAAAGAAATTGTTTAGAAGAAATGAAATCAGCTGGACCTCTAGAACCCAATTTTATTGTAAATGAACAAATTGCTAGCATCAAAGCTGAGGTCTTACAAGCTAACTGTATGAAGTTTATATTTATTATTATACATTACAATATTAAGAAAAGCTTGCATGTAATTTTATTTAAAATTTTATAGATACTGATAAGAAACAAGATGATTTAATTTTACCACCACCGATAATTCCTATGAAAATAATAGATAATTTCGAAGATGTAGATAAAGAATTAGAAGAGGAAATAGAAAATATGAACTTGGATGATATAGAATCAACGGTAATACGAAATATTATTAAATACAGTTGAGTCGCGATAACTCGAAGTTGAAGGGGGATAAAAATTCACTTTGAGATATGCATTATTTGAGATATAGGAGAAGAATTTTCTAGTGGAATAAAACACAATTCGAGTTATCAAGTTTTTCGAGTTATTGCGACTCGATTGTATTTTAGTAGCTAGTATGTAATGCATTATAAAATACTAAGGTACTAAAAGAAAGTAATGTATTTATAAAACTAAACATATTAATGGATTTGATAAAAAAGCAATATATTATAAGTAAGACAAAATAAATTCAGTAGCAAAAACCAAGTGTGATAAATTTGTATATTTGTAATGTTGATACCTGAAATTTTTTGTTACAAGTGTAATAATAGTAAAACTAATAAACATATTTGTATGGAATTATTTCTGGTTAAATAAATGATGAATAACAATTTTATAAATATGTAAACTTAACATTTTTTACATATTTTTATTATTCAGCTTTGCCACAATAATGCAGAATTTTGATTTATAACCAATCTATTTGAATAAATTATAATTTACTCATCTTATAAATAAATAATAGTTAGACATAATTTTATATTTAATATCAAGTGTATAGTATAATTATTGATGATTACTGATTACATTTTAAAATATTGGTTTTATTCATATTTTAATGGTATAATTTAAATCTAAAACTCATAAATTTATTATTTTATTAATATTATAATATAATAAAATGTTATTATAATTTCTAGGTATATATTAGTCCAGCCTTAATTTTTAAATCTGTATATATAATCATGTTTTCCTTTTTTTTTTTTTTATTTAGCAAAATATGTCTTGCATTTATTGTTATTAATTTTTGATGTTAAAAGCCACTATAATTAGTAGCATTATGATTTATTTTCAAATAATATAATGCCATTGACTTATATTTGTGAATTTTGTCTAGGGCATAAATATTGATGCTGAATTATCCGATGATGATGAAGACGACAATGATTATTCTTGAATAATAATACAATATATTTCTGGTATGTATAAGTCATAATGGCTTAAAAATGTAAAAATATTATTATATTGTAATTGGAAATGATATTATTATTTTTGTTAGTATTATATTCTTATTTATGATTTATTTTCACGCTGAAACATGTTTTCCCTTCATTCCATTTTTTTTTATTATTCCCATCATTTTAATAATAATAAATTAATTACATAAAATTAAAATTTAATGTTATTAAAAAAATTTGGGTATACATCATTTTTTTTTCTTCATTAATAGTTTATAGTTATTTTTTATAGCTGATAAAAATTGATACTTTTAAATGTATGTTATTCAAATTGGAATATTCTAAATCTATTAAGTTAGCTCCTGTTTAATATTTTATTCATCAGGTCAGTGCATTTAATTCCTTGTACAGTATTATGTGTATCAATTGTTGACACCAAGAATTATAGTGCAATGATAAAATATAAATGAGTATTTACTATTTTATATTATTTAATTGTAATATTATATACTTACTGTACTTGTGCCTATGTGTATAGCGTGAAAATATATTTGTTTTTATTTTACAAAATTTTATTATGTATTAAAAAGTCTTCAGCAAAACGTCTGGTGCTTTGAATTTTTATAAACATTATTAACTACTAATTTACTTGATTGTTATTGTTTAGAGTTTTTGAAAATTATTTTCAATATTTCATTATTTTAGAACAAACTATAGTGATCATTGTTCACCTATCACCAATAACATATTAACATTATCAATTATAATATACTATAGTTACTTAATATAATTAAAAAATACCCTTACACATTTAATTAAGATATAAAATACTCTTTATTTTTAATTCTACGAATGATTAGTACTGAAACTTTTATAAACTTCAATGTAGTTGTTACGTTTATGAATGACTTCTGTTATTTTTCTTCAACATGCTCACAAAATGTGACATGATATCTTAATTTTTAACTCATTTCATCTCACCAAACACCTAGGTGTTGTTGCAATTAGGTGTGTTTTGTTTAAGTTTAAATATAAGTATAAATTCGAGATGCAATGGTTTCTTGAATTATTTGAATGGCTATCAACCAACATATTTCACAACTTTAATTCATACTCAGAATTCGCATATTTTTTTCCCCTCTGAAAGAAATTATTGGTGTTAATATAATAATGTAATGTGTGTGTTTTTTTTTTATTTTCCGTGTCTAGTGGCGTCCTCGTAAGACATCAAATAGTGAAATTGCACTAGTTTCTCGTAGGTCCTGGGGCCTACATGCATTTGGGGGCCCTACTCTGGTTTCTGGAGCAAATACTATTAATGCATAACTATTCATCTGGATCTTTAGATCGTTGAATAAAATGTAAAGAGTTGGTAGTGCCAAATATGCAAAGAAATATAAATGTTTAATAACTAATATAGATAACTATATTAATATTGATTATATTGGTAGTTTGTATCAGGGCTCAGGAAGCCACCTCATTATATATTATGATATATTTTGTAAAGCAAGTCAACACATATCCAATGCCTTAAATTAAATCACTGATCAAAATTATTATGTACAATGTAGTAATAACTTTGAAATCTTAAATAATTAATAAGTTATTGAATTTAAAAAACTGCCCTGAGCAACACCACCACCCCGTGAAAATTGTTTTTTGTACAATTTTAAATTCAAACGCCTATTAAAAAAAATGTAGAGGAATTTGCAATATTTTTAAATCCATTTAATGTAAACATACATTTTAAAATGAATTTGGAAAAAAAATTATTTCAATCAAATAAATATGGTCTCATGGATGTAGACCAAAATAAATTTGGGGGGCCTATAATTATAATTGCACGGGTTCATAGAAAACTTGAATGCGCCACTATTCGTGTCTCTGATTCACGATTTAGGCATGAAGTGTTGTTTTGATCATCACAATCATTGAACGTTACTGAAAAGTAATGTTACTAAGTACTCTTAAAGTAGATAATTTTACCAAACTTCCAATTAGATTTTTTAATAATTGTTAAAAACTGACGAAAGGTGAATAAAAAAACGTAACATTTACGACAAACCGGTTTTAGATTAAATCTATTTTATTCTATTGTAATTCAAACATTTTTTACTGTAGAGACTTGAAAATTGCATTTTAACTTATATCACCGTTTATTAAAAATTTTATAATTTTAAATATATTTGGATATTTGTTGTGCTATTTAAAGATATTTGAAAATTGCAAGTTTCTTAGTTCCTAAACTGTCGTTACAATTATTTTGATTAGACAACATGTATTTAAATGTGATAAAAAATGTTCTTATAAATATCTTATATAGAAACAAACATTGAGCGTTATTTCAAAATCAAATATGTGCATTTGAATAGGTATTAATTATTGACAAAACTTAAAAATAATCACGAAAATTCACAATATTCTTGTAGTTAAAATATGCATAAAACGTTCAATTTAAATACTTGAGGTTTGAAAATTGGATACAGGATTTTATAAGATACTTATTGAAGTTAAAAAAAAAAAAAATAAATATTTTATTAGTAAGTCGCCTAAAGGTTTTATAGGTGTCAGAAAATTAAATTTTAATCACATTTGTTATTTCAACGAATTTCGATTATGCAATAATTAAGACCTCGTCACATTATATGTTTTAAGTTAGTAAAACTGATAATTAGAAAAACACAAGATAATTTATTTATCTAGACGCCTTTAATTTTTTTTTTTCGCAAAAATTTAAATATTAAAATTAAAAAGTGTAACATATCTTATTAAGATTTTTGGTTCTGCTATTTTTTCAACCATTTTGTGTTAAGTAACGGTTGGCGGTTATTTTTTTTCTCCCTTCAACATTTACATACATCATGGTATTTGTTAAAATGTTACAATTATAACTAATTGACAATTTAAATTGCTGAAAATAACGCAATACAACTTAAATGAAAAATATAAACCGTTTTTATACATTATTAAAATAGTTATACGATCGGGAGTGGTAAAGCGCACCTATCTAGTCGCGCCAATGCCTCTGACGTATTTTAGAATTTGAAGTGTTCGCCAGTGGCGTAGCCAAGGGGGGAGGGCTAAGGAAACTATAGCCCCCCATGGGCTGTGTTTAGTGTATATTATTGTATATATGAATAGTGTATATTGACTATTTAATAGAATCAATGGATGCTCGTTTTAATCAAAGGCTTTTTGATGTTATGCCACTTGAAGGACTTATTCCGGCCAATTTAAATATGTATGACAATGAAAATATTATAAAAGACGCTAAAATATATGCCCAAGATCTCCATGATGATACCTCATCTACAATCAGAGCTGACCTGTTCATATGGAGGCAACAATGGAGTCAAAATACTATTCCAAAACCGAATTCTGCTCTTGATTCACTCTCTCATTGCACCAATCTTTAACCTAACATTAAAATACTTTTATAATTATTCGCTACGTTACCAGTTACCTCTTCCACTCCAGAAAGAACGTTTTCTGCACTTAATCGCTTAAAAATTTTTTTAAGAAGCACCATGTCGGAAAACAGACCGAATGGGTTAGCTATGGCTAATATAAATAAAAAAGAGCAATTCGATGAAAGTGAAATAATAACTGAATTTGCCAGAAATTCACCGAAGAGGATGCAGATGTCAGAGTGGAGCAAGTGATTGAACACTGAAACCAAAATTATTATTATTATTATAAATTATATATTAATAAATACTTTTAAAACTATACTAAATGCTTGAATTACATTTAAAAACTTGGTGGTAGATGGTGAGGGGGGGAGTTAAGGGTGAATTCTCATATCCTCTCTTACCTTACTTATCCAAAAAAAGTGATTAGCCTCTCCCATTTAAAAATCCTGGTTACGCCACTGGTGTTCGCTAAACTTAGTAGTTGGAATGGGTGCCACTGGGTAGAAATAGTGTAAGCTTTATTTCTCCATTTATGCAGTGAGTGCGCCGAATATATTTAGTAAAAATTATTAATATATTTATTTATTGCATTGTTGAAGTAACATATGCATAGTTTTGCGTACTTATGAATACAAAGACACATGTAGTATGGAAACAACTATGCTTCACATCATTTTTTATTATCTCAACTTAATAGATAGTTGGTGCAGTGAAAAACGGCAGGTGTTTTTTTTCTACAGTGCGAAGTATGTACTGTAGACAACATGGATAGTCAATTAGTTCATGTTTGCGAGAATGTATAAGTGATCGTTATAAATTATAATTATTGCTCTCGTGGGAGGACAGCGTTTAGTTGTTTACTGGCGTACGAAACACTTAATGAAAAACATAATTTTCAATAGCATAAAAATAATCCGGATACTTTTCAAATATATTTTTTCCTAGATGTATATTTTATAGACATGATCGATTATTTTGTCGCCGTTGTTGGCTCGTTAGCCGTTTCTATAAAATTGGGAAATAACAATACTGTCCAATAAAAATAGTAGAAAACAAAATTCAATTGTTCAATTATAAAATATTTTGCATTTTCATAATAATGATGAAAGTGTATAATATTTTACAATTAAATTATTCAATTGTACATTAGGAAAATTGCAATTGAATGACAAATAAAAAAAAAATGGTGAAATAATTTAAAAAAGGTGATAGGACGTTTAAATAGTATTCGGAGTACTCGTAAAAATAATTTAAAGTACTGTATTAAATACTTAAAATATATTAGTATTTCAGAAGTATTTGGAATACTTTTCAAGTCTGCATTTCTCTAGTTTACTGTATAAAATCTCCTATATTGGGTTTGTAACAGCCTATGATTGTCTACAATATATTTTGATCGTATATCGTTAAAAATGAATATGTTATAAACTTTTATATTTAAACGCGATATATCAACCTATATCTGAAGACAAACTATTATGTAGGTGCATAGAAAGTTATCAACAAATGAAGTATTTCCATTTTATTTTTAACGAAAAGTTATTCAAAACATTTTAACACATATTAGAGATATTTTATACGTGCTAAAATCTTGAGTTAAAAAATAACCTACTAAAAATAAATGTATAAATATATCTACTATTTGTGCTCTGTAGCGTATTTTCAAGAGAATTAAAAGATCATTAAAATATTGTATCTCGTACCACTATTTTTTTAGGTCCTATATAATTTAAAAAATAAATAAATAATATTTTGAAAAGAAAGGTTAAAACCTGGGACTCTGCTTCCCTAATAAAAGCATATGCTTTCGTATATAGGTACGAAGATGCTGAAATATAATTTAAACCGTCTTAATATCTAATTGAATATAAGATAAACAAAAATATTTAGGTACACATATTCATATTTGGAACTACGATTATTTGCCTCAAGAAATAATTTTTTTATTTAATTATATCACGTAGATTACATTTTATGTAATCTGTAATTACATTATGTAAATACTATTGGTAAAAGTATTTAAATTTAACAAAATTAATTACATTTTGATTTAAATATAAATTATGGATGCATGAATAGTTACACAGACATGTATATAGAATACAGTTTTACAATTAATAATAATTCATATTTTTGATTTTTAAAATTGTTTAACATTATAAACTTATAAGTATAAGCACTTAGTACTATATATTTATTATTTATATTTAAAAAAAAAGATCCGCTCTTAAATTATTAATTACGGCTATATTATAAATCTAATTATTATAATACAAAAATAGAAAATTAATACAAAGAATATTTATAAATTCGAGGCAGACTTATTTTTATTTGTTCATAAATTAAATTCTTAATTTTTTTATATACTTAAGTAATTTCAAATAGGAATTATAAAAATTAAACTTAAAAACGTCTTGGGTATGAATGAAATTCAAAGTATTTTTCTTTTAAGATAATACAACTATTCCACAGTAAGTAAGTTACATATATAAATAGGTAAGTAATAACAATTAAGCTGTATAAGTTTTTACATTTAATAGTTGTATTTTTAATAAATTAAAATTCAATCTATAAAGCTATATCTTATGAATGTACAAGTAACATTAAGTATATTTTCAAACAAACTCAAAGAATGAAAAATAGCTACTGAACCAGTTGATATTTACAAATTATTAACTATTCGTTTAACAAATAACTAACGAACAATATTAAATAACTTTTCTGTGAAATTAAAATAAATTAGCATTAATTTTATTACGTGATTATTGATCATAGGTTTATAAGCATATAAATCTCAGCCTGCCTCTTCAATTCCCCTTAGTAACACTGACCACAATATAAGTACTTCATTACCTAATTAATAAATATATAAACTTTTTATTCGTGTAAAAATCCATCTTACGTTTTTTGGTTACCTACTTATTAATACTGAATAATATAAAAAATATATCATGGAACCATTAATAAATATAATTGTTAATAAATATTTACATATAATTTTTTTTTCATAAATAACATTTTTGTCGCGAATCTGCCACTTCGAAATCGACATTTGGAGGCTGTACTTCGAAATGATCAAGATTTAATGTATCTTGTGTTTTCTCCATAAGATTCAAATGTTCTTCTTTCACTATAAGTTAATAGAAAATAAATTTGATGACATTAGTCTCAGGTGTATATGTGTAAATGAGCTGTATGTATAAATATCCATATTATATGTACGTGGTTGTTTATAATCTGAATGTGTTATACCGGATAACATATTGTGATCCGGCGAAGAAGTTGATGTTGCCCAATAGGAATACTGAAGAGTAGTATCCGGTAAGACCTCTTGTTGCGGACGCCGTTGACATTGGGGATATGATCCACCAAAAGTCATACTAGGACTCGCTAGAACACGTAATGTTGAACGATTAAAAACAATAAAATTGTTATTGTCGAATACGATTCGTATACAAATTATTATCAAACAATTATTTCAATTTCGTAGTTATCAAAGCACCTTCTCACGGGTCGACATAAAAATATACATAAACCAACCAAAGTATAATTAAATTCAGTGCTCGACTTGGGGGGGACGCAGGGGGATGGAGTACCCTAACTAATTTTCAGAAATTTTAGCGTCCCCTTACTATTATTACGCTATAATCATAATGCTCAACCAGTTTTGGGGACGTTATTTTTTTTAAAGTAAATAGAGTCCCCCTTCTTTAATTTTTCCAAGTCGAGCACTGATTAAATGCCTCCATGTTTATTTAATTTGGTTATTTAACTAAAACATTTTAGCAATCTTATAAAAGTACATACTCACGTCTTACTCCACTCTTGACTAATTTTTAACACAAACAATTATTAAATTACAACTTTATTTTGTAAAGTATATAGTGGCTTGTCCGTATATACAATACTTACATTACATATGTTCAATATGTACCTGTGAGTTTATCGGTTATAATTGTTAATATCGTTAATAGTGTTACATGAATATAATTGTTATATAATTAACATTAGTTTAATAAAACATATGTCAATTGTTTTAGAACTATCGTATAAGTATTTAAATATTTTAAGAATATATATAGGTTAAAACTTAATTTTCCTTACCCATTGATGTTGGTAAATGGTTGTAATTCGGATGATTCATCGATGAGATCTGAACAGACTGCACAGGTTGTAACTATCAATATATATAAAGAGTAATAATTATAAATATATATTTTATGTATTTTCATACTGATAATATAAATGTTATACAAGTTGGCATGAAAATAATGCTATAAATTACTTATACAATATTTGGATTTAGTGTGCTTTTCAGCGTATATAATATTCGTGAAGAGCTTTTTCAAGAAATAAACATAGATAAATGCAAAATTGTATATAGAACTTCAGCATTCAAATAAAGTTTGTAGTGCAAATACCTTACCAACATAAAAAGTATATGGTCGAGTCTGATCAATAATTAATCAAATAAATCAATAAAGTCAAACGACAAACGGGTGTTTGAAAAATATTTAAGTTTACTAAAAAGTTATTCAATTTTTCCAGTTATATAATTAAAAAACATTTCTAATGAACTTTTCAGATATTATTTGCGTACGATAGAACTTTTTTGACTGGTTAATAATAAGACTTTTAACAAGTAATTAATATTATGGTAAGAAATCGGGAGATAGATCGAATTCGCTTAGAATTTTAGTTCCAATGCGGTATCTTATCATGATTAACACTAACATATAATTAAATTCAGAACCTGTAGTATTTTATTGACTTTCAGAATATCATAATCACTACATATTATAATAATCAATTTAATTTGTTAACTTATTATGAATTTTTAAAGGTTTTTATCGAAATGATCAAAAATTGTAAGTTTCAAATTTAAACTATCATTTTACTATACTTCACGATTTGTTTTCGAAAAAAAATCTTTATTCGAAACAAAAACCAATTCTGTGTCAACAATAATTCCTTATCGGTCCTGAAAACAACACAATGCAATTATATAATACTAAGGTTTAATGCCTAGTAAAAATATACTTCAAATAACTGCCATGTATACTACATATTTAATATTATTTATAAAATATGTGTAGTGTAATTGATATAGTATAAAATTAGTGGTATTTTAGTATGCATCATTTAAATCATAAAATTAAGTACTGACCACACTTTGAAGTACTGACTACAAACGCAACCATGTACGAATTTTGTGTTATGTAACATTAAATTTTAAAGAAATTATAATCGATGCATTTTAAAGTTATCACAGCAATATAATTTTTATTGTATTTATATAAATAATGAACAATAATATAATTTTTTTGATATGAGAAGAAGAACGAAAAAATAATAACTTAAACTTACTTGAGATGATAAAGGAAAATGTAATTGATGTGTTTGAGGAACTGCCGAATAAGGCGATATAGGCCAACTGTTGCTTAAATTAAAAATAATAATAATTAGTTGTACACACAATATTTATACTATTGATATGAATATATAAACCTGTGATCAAATCGCGGCGTTATATTTGGATTTGAATTAAAATTTGTAGGATGTGATCCTAAAACACCTCTACTATAATCAGGTCCAAAATAAGGCCCAGGTCTACTGTAAGGTGTTGTTCGATAAGGTCTTTTCATTCTCCGACGTCTTCTATAGTTTCCGTTTTCAAACATGTTATCGTATTTTGGATCTAAATTATAGTAAATAAATTAAAGATGTAAAAAAAAAGAAAACGAAATTATAAAAATAATGCTTATGATTATGATTCATGTTCCGTAAATCGTTCAGTATTTAAACAGTCTGTGGGTGTTTATATTATATTTAATACGTAACAATTATCATAGATAAAGGGATTGAATTGCTTGTTTTGTTCACTTTCGTGTTCTCGGTTGGAAATATAAACATTCTTCAGATAATAAAATAACATAAATTACTTACTGTCATTTACAGAAAAAATATACAGGGACCTATTGATTTCATAATAATATGTGAACAAATAAAGAAAGGAAAATATGAACACTATAAAGGTCTGTATTACTACTTCTGCAAACTATTATTTTAGTTTATAACTTGATATAACTATATTTAACTGTATACATTAATTTAACCCTCTAACCTTTCATAAATAATAACTAAAGAAAGTATTCATATTTAATCGTATTCTGTAGTTCACTGTTCTAAATTTAAAATGCCCAACTGTATATAAGTTAATAATTTTAAATGTTGACTTATTAATATTATTATGGTTGATAACTTAGAAGTACAGTATGGTGGAATCTGTCTTTATCAAATATCTTGCACGAAAATAATTTTAAATCGATTAATTTTTGGATATGATTATTCAAGTATAAATTTTACCATATAAAGGTAGAACAATTAATCTATACCATTGATTGTAATATAATTTTACCTTAGCTCAGTTTGTTAAATATCCTCTGTAATTTTATGTATCATAATTATTTTTTTAGATACTATATAGTATAATACTATAAACAATACAATCATTAAACTAAAATATTTATACCAAGAAAAATAAGACGCATTTGGTGCAATAAAAAATAAAAAAAAAAATGAAGAAATTTAGAGTTATCAATTTTATTCAGGTTGGCAAAATTGTCAGAACCAAGTAAGGTTCTGCTATATTATTTGGTAAGATTAATAATTTTAATTTGAACTACTCTACTATGTAACTAATAATAAGTAATAATTAGTATTTAAAACTGTTGACTTTAGTATATTTTTTTATTATTAAATAATGGTAAATTTTTCATAGAATATATAACAATGGAATTTGGTGCATTATTTTGCATACGTTGTATATAAATTAAATGTAATTTCATAAGATATTTCAGTAGAATATATGTTAATTAGTTAGTAAGTAGAGTTAATAATGATCATCATATTGAAATATTTTATGCACACTGTGTAATTTATGAAATATGATAGAATAACTGAATTAACATTTATAACGTTAAATATAATATACATATATTGTTTAATATGTTTGTTCGTATAAAATTGTATTTATATATTAACACAGTTTGGTTTAGTTTCTTAAAATATTGCTTTAAGTCTATAAGCATAATAAATTGTAATAATATTACACAGTGGCGCCCAGACAGGTTATCGAAGGGTGCAATTGCATGTGCTTTCGTCGTGGGTGGGTGATAGGTGGGTTGATGGGTATATAATTGGACAACTTGGATATCAAACATTATGAATTATGGTAAGCAAATAACATAATTATTATAACACAAACATTATACCTATACGGCACTGGGTGTAGACATCTTAATTTTAATTAATTATAATAAATCTTAATTTCTTAAATTTATAGTTATTTTAAGAGTTAATTATAGTTACAGATAACAATTTAAACGATCGTTTTTTTTAAAAAAAAAAATTGATGAGCGGGTTGGTAACTTTTTTTAGTTGCATGTGCTCTCAAAATACTTCTGTGCGCCACTACTATTACATATAGGTACTCAGTGTTCGAAATGTTAGGTCACGTTCACGTTCAATACATAAAAAAAGAACTTGTTCATGTTCGTGTACATTTTTTTTTAAGTGAATACGTTTACGTTCAAGTTCTATAAAAAAATGAACGCGTTCATTTGGTCGTTCATTTAAATTTTTTTATTTTTTTTATTCATGAATCATCAAATGACATTTTCTAAAAATGGGACGTTTAAAAATGTATAAGTTATATTTTACTCTGTTTAAAACTTATATTCAAACATATTACAATCAATATTTTTAATTTATATATTTATTTTTAAAATTATAAATAAATATGAACGTTCCCAGAATTGTTCAAATTCATTAAAAATATATACGTTCTTCATGTTCTATTTGAAAAAGGCGAGTGACATTCGCATATCGTTCACAAAATATGAATGTGCGTTCAGGAACGACGTTTTTTCCAAACACTGCATATACTCGTATTATAATTAATATCATTTTGTAAAAGGTTTTTATACTATTGATAGTAAGTGATAGTAAGATAATTTCATACCGAAAATCGTATTTTTCTTCATAATTATTGTAATATAAGAATATAATTAGTTATACAATACTTTATAGTTTAAAATTTTTTTTAAATTAAAATGTATATACTTTAATTATAAAGTTTTGTAAATAAATCTGAATTTTCACGATACAGAAAAAAATATAAAGTGTCTAAATACAATTGAAAAGTTACAGCCTTGTAACAATAAAAATAATAATTATACTCTTATTGTATTCAATAGTTTAAAAGTCTAGAATATTAAAAGAATTACGTACAATTTGTTTAAGAAATTAATAAGTATTATATTGTTCGTTTAATCTTATACTATATTAATAACAAAATACAGAAGTATTGAATTCTTGAATTAATTATTATCAACTAAATAAAATCTCTGAAAACATGTTTTATTAGTCTGCATAATTTATATACGTTTTTATTTTGACATTTTGTTTAAATTAAAACACTATGCATTACTACGAGTAGTAGCATTTATTTATAATCACTAATAACTGTAGTACACACTATAAAACTATATGTATATACTTTATATATATATATATATATATATATATATATATATATATATATAT